GTGTACTGGTGGTGGTGCTCGTGCGTGTGCTACATGTATACACACGTGTGGGAGTGTTCACACGTGAGCTCTGTGTGCCTATGTGGTGTGTGTTTATACGTGTGGTATGTCCACATGCATGGGAGACTATATGTGTAGGTGACGTGTGTGACACACATGTTCATATGTGTGTACCATGTGGTGTATGACTCTGTGTGTGCACGGTATATACAAATGCATGTATGTTGCTGGGTTCTGTCAAGTATGTTCATGTATGTGTGTGTACTTTGTGGTGTATGATTGTATATGTGTGTGCCTGGTATATACACACATATCTGTGTGCACTTTGTGTGTATGACTGCATGTATGTGCATGGTATACACACATACATGTATGTTGTTGCTGGGCTCCGTCAAGTATGTTCATGTATGTGTGTGTACTCTGTGGTGTATGACGGTATGTATGTGCATGCTATATACACACATACATGTATGTTGTTGTTGGGTTCTGTTACATACACCTCACAGTGACCCTCTGACAGCCGACCTGAACCCTGTCCTCCGCTGTGCCGTCCGCATCATCCTGACACACTGGAGCCCGTTGCTGATGTCGGTCTCCATCTCACTGGCTGTCTCTCTCTGTGTGTCTGTGTGGAGCGATTTGTGTGTGCTGTGCGTATGAGTGTGTGCATGGCACGAAAGACCTGAAACCTCGATGGTATGTGCATGTGCATATGGGAGTGTCGGGGCATGTGTGGATTTGTGAGTTATTTCACGCATATGGCAAGTGTGTGAGGTGTACAAGTGGTACATGCAGGGAGGCATTCTGCTTGTGTGTGTACATATAATCATCATGTGGGCCTATGAGTGTCTGTGGACTCTGAGTACGGGCATGTATATATAATGTGTGGTGCATGTGTGTGTGTGTGAATGTATGTGTGATTGCATGCATGTGTACTTATATATGTGTGAGTGTATATGTATATATGATAGTGTGTGTGTGTGTGTGTGTGAGAGAGAGAGAGAGAGAGAGAGCAGTGGGCCGACACACGGTCCCTCAGCCCGTCTGCAGGGAGCTGCAGGCTTTCACGGCAGTGAATCCATCTTCCTGTCCAGACAGTTGAGGCTGCGTCCTAGGAAGGTGAGGTGAAGCTGGTCCTGGGGTTCAGAGCACTTTTGTCTAAGAGAATGGCGCCGAGGGGCACTGTGGGCCCAAATGGGCTCTGAGCACGAGAGTCAGGGTTAAAGGGGCAGTGGGGGCTGCAGGGAGACTGGACGCCCACGGGGCCCTGTTCCCTTTCCCAGCTGCTTCCCTTGGGGACATGGTGGTGGCTGACAGTGTGGCTTCATGCCCTCCACTCCTGTTCGTGCTGGCGTCACTGAGGCCTGCTCTGAGAGCACTGAAACTAGAATGGGAGGACTGTTGGAGACGAAAGAGGTCGCTTCCCCCGGTGGCCTGGGCTCGCGGGGCCTCTAGGAAGTCGGTGAATAACCCTGGGTGGTACTGGCTCAGTCACCCCACTGATCGACTGTGGACAACTTAGATACCCTCAGAACATACCCTCGGAACAGACCATTAGGTGCTGTTGCATCAGCTCCTGCCTGTAGGGACCCCACCTGGTCTCGCATGGCCCTGGGGGTCCCATCTCAGCTTCTCTGCGCCCATCTTGGAGGAACTTCCGCTTCCATGACCTTCTGCTCTTCCATGCATGATGCCTTCTGCAGGAACTGGCCCCTGATAAGCCGTAGCCCGCGGGACGGGGGAGCATGTCAACTCCCTTTTCCAAGACACGCTGCGAGTTCCTCTAGTGGGTCCTGCCTTACAGGCTTCCTCCCAAGCCCACGGTGTGAGTGCCCAGGGCGATTGACTCTGTTTCCGAGCACAGAGGCTCACAGAGGTGCTGCCTGGCTGGCTGTCCAGTGTCTTTGGAGGAGGGTGTAACAGGAGGCCGTGGTCTCACCCTGTTCCTGAGGGTGGCCTGGCCACATAACCACCGGAGAAATGCACCTTGAACCAGATTCCAGTCTGCACCAGTGCTCCCTTAATGAGGGTTAATGATGTTAATTACTGTCCCCTTCACTTAAGAGCAAGCTCAGGAGTTGTTAATTGTTACATAATGGCCCAGGCCCAGCACAGGCCCCAGCAGAACCGACTGGAGGCAGTGAGACGAGGCCGCCTCTCTTTTCTTCCCAAGGTCCTTCCTCCCACCTACCCTACACGCACTGCTTCTCATGCTCCCTCCCTCTCTCTCATCTCCCCCCACCTCCAAGTCTGTAAATGGGTGTTTCAGGATGCACTGCTTTTCCCTTCTGGGGGACACTGGCGTTTAAACCTGCACCAGGCCTTATCTGCTTGTTCTTTTGGAAGTCTATGGAATGTTCAGTGCTCTTCTCCAACACCACAGCTCAAAGGCATCAATACTCCTTCCGTCATCCTTATTCACTGTCCAGCTCACAGATAAATAGTGATTGAAAACACCGTGGCCTGAATCAGGTGCACCTTAGTCTTCAAACTGACATCCTTGCCCGTCAGATTGGGGACTGATTTTTACAAAGTCACGAAGCGGGGTGCTTTGGCATTCTCCAATGATGCAAATGGCTCACAAACTTGACTATTAATGAAAAGGCTGCAAGGATGTGTCCAGCAGAGTGGCCTTAGAAGGAAGGCCAAGTGACACACTTCCAAAAACCAGCCCCTGAAAACCCGGTGGAGCCCAGCTCCACCCTCATATACCACAAGTCGGAGTCACTGACAGCAATTGATACTGGAACGTGGTTAATGAAACACGAGGGCCGATTATCACCGATGATGTTAGACCATATCTAAGACTTGCTATTAAGAAGAGTGTAAGGGATAGAATAGTGCACCTAGTATAGCAGTGTCTGTATAAAAAAGTGGGATCTATGTGTGTACATAGCAGCAATCAGGAGACAAGGAGATGCACTGCATTGGGCAAGTCCTCTCCGAAACACTGAAGAGCAGTGATGTCAGTTGAAAGACTAAGGTGTTCCTGATTCAGGCCATATCTTTCCCACTACTTGCTTTGCATTTGAGAACTGGATCATGAACAAGGATGAAAGAAAAAGAATTGATGCCTTTGAGCTGTGGTGTTGGAGAAGAGCGCTGAACATCCCCATTGACGGCCAAGAAGAGAAGAGCTATGTCTTGGAAAAGGTGAAGCTGGGATGCTCCTTAGAGGCAAAGATGGAAAAGCTTCAGCTCTCATGCGTTGGGCACGCTTCAGGGAGAGGATATTCCTTGGAATTCCTTGGAAAGGGATATCATGCTTGGAATGGTGGAGGGTAAGCAAAAGGAAGACAGACTCCCATCGAGATGGGTTGACATGGCGAGTGCTGCAATGGGCTCTGTTTTGTTCAGCTCTGTTGTTCATGGGTTGCTATGAGTTGTACTTGACTCCACAACACCTAATGACATGTGTACATATAGATTGAATGCACACACACACACACACACACACACACACACACACACACACAGTAAAGTGTAAAGTTCTAGTCAAGAGGTACATATACATTGCTTCAGAGATACATACACACAGCTTCAGAATTGGTCTAAACTCCCAGAAGGGTGACAGAAACTATCTTGGGCATAAATCGGGCACTCATGGAGTGGAGCTCAGACATGGCTCTGTGCTCAACCTTTGTAACATATTTTACCCTTTCTGACGTGATTCGTGGCCCTCATGGCACCCACTTTGCTCCGGGATGTGACAAGCCATTGCACCCTCTCCACAGATCTCAGAGCCCACCCCTCCAGTGAAGTGGTCTACAAGGAGGTTAAGCGGCTGCCCTGAGGATCAGGACCAGGAAGCGTGCAGACACGTCTCCCTCCTTCCCTGCGGGGCAGCTTGAGTGCTGCCTCTCAGCATGGAGACCTTGTCTTGGCTCTGCAGCCTCTCGCCTCCGACTCAGATGCACGCCCCGCTCCACACACCTAACTTGCCATTTCACTCCTCCCCTAGGGCTGTCCTCCCTGCACTGACCCTGTTCCTGTCTGTGCTCCATCCAGCCACTGGGTGCCATTCCTTCAACATGTAGAACAGACACTTACTTTTTTCTCTCTATGCACCAAAAAGAACGTTTGCAACTCTAGGCTGGCTTGCTCATCTTTAAAACGAAAACCCACCGCCTCAACCAGCTGGATTTACACAGTGACCGCAGCCATGGACTTGAGTGCGTCGGAGATTGTGAGGACGGCGCAGGACAGGACAGGGCTCAGGACTGTTGTTCACAGGGTCACCGTGAATCGTGCCCAACAACAACAGCTTCCGTCATGACTCTCCCAGCTCACAGTGAGTCTCCACTGGGTCTCCGAGACTGTGAACCTTAGTGAGAGGAGACTGTCATCTTTAACCCAAGAAGCAGCTGTGGGATTTGAACCACTGACCTTTCAGTTCACAGTGTAGCACCGCATGCCGCCAAAGCTGCTTTCTTCAAGATGAGGAGGCTGAAAACCATTCATTTCTAAGTTCCAATCTAGTTCCAGCAACCACATTACTGACTCAGTTCAAGGCCAACAGCTTTATTCTGTGATATAAAGTATCCTCACAGAGCAAACAAGCACTTTATTCAGCTGTGTGCACGGTATTACACAGAATGTATGGATGAAGAGACAGCTAGTGGAGGAGGTGATGTTCTCCGGTTACTTACTAGTCATCACATTACAATGTCTTCTCACATCATGCCCTAAATTTGGTGACGTGATCAGCTTGGAAAGCCAGCAGAGTGTCAAGTGTGGATCCGGGTTATCAACAAACTGTGTGTGAGGCAAGGAATGACGTCGGGCCCCAGGGTCAGCTGTCACGGCAGCCAGCCTGGGACCGGGCCTGCTAACGGCCCCGTGAGGCCGCACAGGGACGGACGGAGCCCGCATCTGCTGGACGCTGCAGTTTCCAACTGCTTCCGACGTGTGTGTGTGTGTGTGTGTGTGTGTGTTGAGCCTCTCCGGAGCAGGGGGCGCTCCTGTCCCAAGAGCGGCTCCACCGTGGGTCCAGGAGGACGCTACTTTTTCTTTTTCACCTTTGCTTTCTGTTTTCCTTTATCCTTTTCCTTCTGTTTCCCTTTATCCTTTTCCTTCTGCTTCCCTTTATCCTTTTCTTCTTCACTGCCTGTTAGGGCTAAAACTCGCTTCCTGCCCAGAGGGGTTTTGGCATACCAGTTCTGAAATAAAATAAGACATTGAGGAACGTAGGAAAATGCTGCCAATTCACCGGACACTTGGAAAAAGAAAGACAAAGCTATTAGGAATGGATGGCCGTACAGGCTCATACTGTGTTCATTTCAACTCAACTCAGCACCATTAAGTCAGAACCAAGTCAGAGATGACCCCCTCAGGTTCTGAGCTGACCCCCTCAGGTTCTGAGCTGACTCCCTTGCATTCTGAGCTGACCCCCTCAGGTTCTGAGCTGACCCCCTTGGGTTCTGAGTTGACCTCCCTCAGGGTCTGAGCTGACCCCCTCAGGTTCTGAGCTGACCCCTAGGGTTCTGAGCTGACCACTAGGGTTCTGAGTTGACACCTAGGGCTCTGAGCTGACTCCCCTCGGGTTCTGAGCTGATCCCTAGGGTTCTGAGCTAACCCCCCTTGGGTTCTGGGCTGACCCCCTCAGGTTCTGAGCTGACCCCCTTGGGTTCTGAGCTGACGCCACTCAGGTTCTGAGCTCACCCCCTCAGGTTCTGAGCTCACCCCTAGGGTTCTGAGCTGACCCCCATTGGGTTCTGAGCTGACCCCACTCAGGTTCTAAGCTGACCCCTAGGGTTCTGAGCTGACCTCCATCGGGTTCTGAGCTAACCCCCCTTGGGTTCTAAAATGACCCCCTCGGGTTCTGAGCTGACCCCCTCAGGTTCTGAGCTGACCCCCTTGGGTTCTGAGTTGACCTCCCTCAGGGTCTGAGTTGACCTCCCTCAGGTTCTGAGCTGACCCCTAGGGTTCTGAGCTGACCCCTAGGGTTCTGAGCTGACACCTAGGGCTCTGAGCTGACTCCCCTCGGGTTCTGAGCTGATCCCTAGGGTTCTGAGCTAACCCCCCTCGGGTTCTAAGATGACCCCCTCGGGTTCTGAGCTGACCCCACTCAGGTTCTGAGCTGACCTCCTCAGGTTCTGAGCTGACCCCACTCAGGTTCTGAGCTGACCCCCTCAGGTTCTGAGCTGACCCCACTCAGGTTCTGAGCTCACCCCCTCAGGTTCTGAGCTGACCTCCATCGGGTTCTGAGCTGACCCCCATCGGGTTCTGAGCTGACCCCATTCAGGTTCTAAGCTGACCCCTAGGGTTCTGAGCTGACCCCCATCGGGTTCTGAGCTGACCCCCCCCTCAGGTTCTGAGCTGACCCCACTCAGGTTCTGAGCTGACCCCCATCGGGCTCTGAGCTGACACCCCCTCAGGTTCTGAGCTGACTCTCCCCTCGGGCTCTGAGCTGACCCCTAGGGTTCTGAGACAGTAAATCCCATAGGGGAGATGGTCCCGCTTCCTCCCCCAGAACCACTAGTGAAGGTAAATTGGAGAGAGGCCTCTGGGTGAGCAACGTCCTGTGTGTGAATTATGCCACATGTACTCCGGTCAGGCATTTGCTTCTCGTGTTGTCATAGAGTCGAGTACAACCCATGGACAAGGGATCTGAGTCCTGTCCTCTCCTTTGCCACCCTCATCTCCGACATGGTTTTCCAGTCTGTATTTCTGCTTTAAAAGATCTGTTAAAAAGGGCAAAAGAAGTCAGTAGAAGGACTAAGGTATTAATGCCCCACGCCATGATGTTGTCAACTGTCTCCTGTGCATGTGAAAGTGGGACGTGAACGAGGAAGACTGAAGCATTAGCGATGCCTTTGAAGTCCTGTGTTGGTGAACAACACACACATACCGGGGCCACCAGAAGACCGGACTCAGAAGGGCAGTCAGGGCGACCTGAAGAGCAAGGGTGGGAGACTTCATCTCACATGCTTTGGGCAGGTTGACGGAGGGAACATTTTTATCAAAGTTTCCAAATTCTATGAACTTCTGGCAAAGGTGAAGGTCATGGCAGCCAGGAGGGGGCGTGGGAATGAAATGTGTGTCTGCCACAGAGATTCGTCCACTGCTTTGGACTGGAGTTTGGCTGCCCACTCCTTAAAATGTGTGGGGTCCTGACCCCTCGACTGTGGAGAGAGCCCCAGATGGGAATAAAGTTTTCCTTGTTGTGTTAATGATGCTGCCTCAGGGTCGCCCCAAACCCCACTGCTACCTGATGGGTTCTGATGTGTATCAGGGTTCTGAGGTTTAAAATCTTGGGAGGAGAAAACCGAGCTGTCTTCTGTGGTGCGGCTGGAGGGTTCGAACTGCTGACCTTCTAGTTAGCAGTGTGACATATAACACACTATGTCACCAGCGATGAGAGAGTGTGTGTGTGTGTGTCCTAAACCTAATCACCCCCGAGTGATACTAAAAGCAGCTGAGACACAGAGAGAAGCAGAGACATTTCCTCATAGAGATCCCCAAGGAAGTGAGGGGCAAAAGCTGAAAGGAGAGGTGCTCCCCCAGAGCCGACACGGAATGCCCTCCCCTAGGACGCGCCCCAAGCTTGGACGGCAGTCTCCTGTGTGGTGGGGGACCACACCCCTCTTTCCAAGTCTCAGGCCTGTGGAGTTTCGTTACAGCAGCACCCAAGGCGGAGCCCTCAAGGCGCCCTCTCACCTTGAAGCTCTCCTCCTCCTCCTGGTACACGGGCTCCATTCCAGCCATGCTGCGGATGAACTCCGCGGCCACCAGGGGCTTCTTGGTCTGATGCTTCAGCCTCTGGTCACAGAGCACCTGCTTTACCGCTTGGACGATGTGCCCCTGCGTGAAGCCGTCGGTGACCTTCGCTAGGCAGCTAATGTTCAGAGATTTCGTCACGACCCCTCCGTTTTGCTGGATGATTTCTTTCCAGAGGACTGTTGAGTTGGGGGTGGTGGTGGGGGGGAAGACACAAAAAGTATGGTCACCTACAGAGCAGAGCGGGTGACCACAAGGCCACACTCATCTCAGCAAGAAAGTGACACACCACCTGCCCACCCCAACGTGGCTGTGTTCCCATGGAATGACCCCTCAGTCATCTACAGCCAGAACACAAACACCCAGACACTCCCTATGGGGCCACACATCCTTGGGGACTGTCATGGATGGAGGAAATCACAGCTTGTGTGGCTTTAGTGTGGGGCCTTTGAAGAGCATCATCTTTCAAAATGAGGACTCCCTGAGGGTTTGTAGAGAGGAGCTGTGTGAATCAGAACAGTCTAGTCTCAAAGGGGCGGTGGCGGTTATGTGCCGGCGAGTAGACTATGACTCATAGCGACCTTATGACCCCTGCCCTGTCCTTAGCCAACGTCACCGTCTCTGACCCACCTGGCCCCTTTGCCACAGTCACTGTACCAATCATCTCATCCAGGGTCTCCTCTCCTGTGCTGTCCTTCCATCCTTCCAAGCATGATGTCCTTCTCCAAGGACTGGTCCCTGTTGGCCACGCTCCCCAAGTATGTGAGATGAAGCTTCACAATCCTTGCCTCCAAAGAGCAGCTTGGTTTCACCTTCTCCAGGACAGACCTGTTTGTTCTCTTGGTGGACCATGGTAGGTTCAATACTCTTTTCCAGCAGGAGTTCAATGGATGCTTCTTTGGTGATCACAGTTGCTTATTAAGTTTCTGTTTATGGATTCAGAGGGGACTCCCACGCCCTCTCCCCCACAGCCTGGCTCAGTGCCCTTGAGGTAAGAGCCTTTTGACTCTCCTTACTGTTGCCAACGACCGTCGACAAACACAGGCTGATGGAGACCCTGGGCACGTGCTCAGTTGTCCGTGTGCAGAGTGGGCTCTGAGATGATGGAGCAGGTTCACTTAAAATGCAGCGACATCATGGTAATGACTAATAATGTTATACCTGATGCTTAGCTTTACAGGCAAAATCAGCTCTCACACTTGACATCAGAGCACGTTTAGAAAACCATGTCTGTCCTGTACCGAGTGTGCGGGGGCAGTGGCTGTGACAGGTGAGCACCTGCAGAAGGTGGGGAACGTAAAGGAGGCTGCACCCCGCAGACAGTCCCGGCGCTGGGGAGGCTCGCCCAACTTCTCCGAAACAGTGGGTTTGGCTCTGAGGACGAGTCCAAACTCTAACGAAGGATTTCTCCTCTTCCTCTTGCTCTCGTTGACTATGCAGAAGGCTGTTGACCGTGTCCAGTGCATGCCGGCTGCACAGATCTGTGTATCTGTAAGGCTGACCATGCACAGACCTGACTGTGTAGACAGCACACTGGCCAAGAGGGCACATGCTGACATGGTGACCATGTACGCGGAGCATTGACTGTCATACATACAGTACAGAACATTGACTATGCATATAGCATGTTGTATACATACGTACCATGTGGACCACACACAAAGCATGCTGACTGAATGCGCGTATGTATGCTGACCATGTATATACAGAGATGTCTAGAAATACAGATAACATACTGAACATGTACAGAGCACACTGACCATGTATGTCCCGTGGTGACTGTGTGTACAGCATGACCCCCGTGTACACATCACACTGACCATGTACATCCCTTGTCGATTGTGTGTACAGCAAGATGCCGTGTACAGAGCACACTGAGACCATGTACGTTCTGTGTCGACTGTGTATAACAGCATGGTGCCATGTACACATCGCACTGACCATGTACGTCCTGTGTCGACTTTGTGTACAGCATGACCCCCGTGTACACATCACACTGACCATGTACATCCCTTGTCGATTGTGTGTACAGCAAGATGCCGTGTACAGAGCACACTGACCATGTACGTTCCGTGTCGACTGTGTGTAACAGCATGATGCCATGTACACATCACACTGACCATGTACGTCCTGTGTCGACTGTGTGTACAGCATGACCCCTGTGTACACATCACACTGACCATGTATGTCCTGTGTCGACTGTGTGTATAGCATGGTGCCTGAGTACACATCACACTGACCATGTACGTCCCGTACAGCATGATGCCTGTGTATTTTGCACATCGATGTGTTTATCATGTATCTTTCTCCATCACTGTGTGTTTAGTACGGTGAACATGTGTGTACCATGAGGACCTTACATCTATCTGTAGCTATCACGCTGAGCACATACAGGGCGCACTGACCATGGATGTACCGTGCTGATGGTGTACACAGCACGCTGCCCATGTATGTGACGTGCTGCCGTGCTGACCGTGTGCTTTGCACACTGACTGTGTACATAGTACGCTGCAGGTACATCGCACGTTGACCATGTGTAGAGCATGTAACTGTAGCATACTGACCATGTATACTGCATGTTGACATGTGGGCCCTTTAAACTGACCCCTGACTACGCTGACCACTTATACAGCATGGACTCCATGCACACGGCATGCTGTTTAAAATGTGTAAAGCTTGGTCTTCATGTAGACTCTTGGTCTAGACCCCCTCAGATACATGGGCCTCTGGTGACCTCTGGGGGGTCATGCACCCCTGGGGGGGGGGTGGAGCTGTGGGAAGGAGTCATCCTTGCCCACATGGAGAGTGGGAAAGGATCAGGCTTACTTTTCTCTCATGTCTGGTGAACTAGACTGATGGACTTTTAACACATTAGTGTCTACTACTTTTATAAAACCACGTCTTAGGGGCTCCTGACTCATAAGCAGCTGCCCTGGGCCCTCAGACAGAAGTCAGAGTGGATAAGGAAGAGAATGTGGCCCAGGAGGCAAGCGGCCCACAGGGAGCGGGACCTCGGGCCCAGGAAAGCGGGGGGACCCGGCGGAGGCCCTGACGGGCTATGCAGGAACAAAGAGGGTCAGGAAGTGGACGTACTGGGCAGCAGAGGAGGCCCTGGCAGTGTGATGGCTAGCAGGCCTGGCTGCTGACCAAAGGGCTGGAGGCTTGAGTCCACCAGAGGCCACCTCAGAAGAAAGAGCAAGTGCTCTTACTCCAAAACCAGTCCCTGAAAATCCCGGGGAGGCCAGCTCCGCTCTGCCCCTCGTGGGTGGACTTGGCTGGACAGCAGGGGTGCTGGCAGTGACACAGGTGTCCTTCAAGCCACGTGCTGTGTTCCATGTTCTTCTCACCTCATTGGACTGACCCCCACTCTCTCCAGTTTGTAAAGAGTCAGGTCTTTGGCCCTCAGCCATCTTCTTTTAACATCTCAAGTGGATTCCCATCTTAGCCAGCACTCCCAAAGTTCCCCAAATACTATTCCTCCATTTTTTTTTCCTTTGAGATTTCACAAAACCTCAAGAGTTGGGTGATGTGATCCGGATGTGTTTCTGACCCTCGATAGCCTGGAATTCCTGAAACACTTGCAGACATGAGCGGGCCCGCCTGAGAAGACACTGGGTCTAGGGTGGAGACCTGTGATAAAGGTGGTAATTAGTGAGACAGACCCCAGGGAGGAGCGGCTAGGGGCGGGAGGCTTTGGGGATGTGGAGAGAAGGAAGCACAGAGGGGTTTCTGGGCCTAGCCGGGAGTTGAACCCGTGTCTCCCACATGCAAGGCCAGAGCTCTAACACCAAGCCTCCATCAGTTTGTGGTCACAGTCCTGCATCTCACTGTGGGTCCAGGGACAAAGATCTACCTGCTGTGACTACTCTGATCAGCGTCACACCTGCAGGCCAGCCGCAGGGGCCCGGAAAGGCCTCGGGGTACTTGCCGTATCTGGAGGCGTAGTCTGGTCTGGGAAGCAGGATGATTTTCTGGTAAACTTTGCAGAAGGAGTGGAGTTCTGCGTCGAAGGGCCGCTTGGTGGTCCCCACGATCAGGATCCGGTCTTCTGGTTTCAGAAGCTTCAGGATCTTGGGAAGTTGCTTCTTCAGGCGCTTAGGATCCAACTGGGAAAGAGAGAGGGGGGAGAGTTCAGCTCCCATATGGGCAAAACCCCTCAAGGGCTAAAGAATTGTCATCGCAGACGGCAGCACAGCACATGATGAAAGGGACCACAGAATCCCAACAACCAGCTTCTCTTAGGCCTGAGCCTGGATGCCCGTCGGGATGAGCTGACCCTTCCAGGGCTCGTTCACATTGCTGACCTGAGTGGCTGACACCCCAACCCCTCTGGTATTCAGACTTGGAAAGCAGAAAGACAGGAAGCACCTGATAGAACATTCTAGCACCGTGGCCCTCGGAAGGGGAAATGACACCTGACCTCCGGCAGAAGGAAGTGTGCTGCGGCTGGGGGTACTGTTTCCCGGGAAGTTGGGCGGGTGGCTGAGGACTTCTCAGGTCACGCCTGCACCGCAGGGACCTCACGGAAAATGGCCCAGTCACACAAGGCCTGAAGCTCGCCCTCCGAAGCAGGTTTGCCGTAGCGCGGACCTGAGGCCTTTAGGAACTGCCAGGCCACCAGGGAGGGCGAAGGGAGATGTACTGGACAGGATCCAGGGAGGTGGCTTCCCAGGGAGGTCCCTAGGGATCCGATTCGTCACACGGCCATGGAGAGCCCGCCAGCTTCCAGTTAACCAGAGGAGGGACAGGACACAGGGGAGGAGGACAGGGGATAGAGATGCCCTTTGCAGGGACTGGCCAAAACGGAAGTCAAAGAAGAACTCTGAGAGCGATGAGGGCAGACAGCATAGGGCTGGCATGTCCTGGTCTTTCCAGAAACGTGTTAGAGGACAAAGATGGGGGCGGCTGGGACACATATGACATGAGTGTGAGCTCCTGAGTGAAATCCTTGTGGCCTTGGAGGGAGAGGCCCACCTTGCAGGGTCTGGACCCCCCACTCAGTGGCCTGGTTGCCATGGCAACAGTGGTGTGGCCCTGCCCTTCCTGAGACGGGAGTGGATCCTCCCATCTGTGAGTCCTGGAAGGGCAGGGCCACTTGGATAGAAGAGTCTATTCGGAGAACAAATGCTGAGCCAGGGCTGTGTCCTGCTGGGAGGGGATGGACCACCCTGTTCTGGCTCAGAGATGCCCCCTGGGCACGAGGCTGTTCAGTGATCACACCTGCACGCGTCCCCGCCACCACCTGGCAGCCCGCAGGATGCCCGCCTCCGTTGCCCGGCCTGCCGGCCCCACCCAGCTCTGTCAGGGGCTGGCACCTCCATGGCCCTTTCAAGCTGCTTTTCTGTAGTCAGGTCTGCACAACAGCCACAGCTGCCAGCGTCAGCAGAGGGAGCGTTCCCCGGGCCGAGGCAGCACGTGATGTCAGGGAACGCTGTCACTAGATGAAGTTACAAAGGGTAGTGGAGCAGAAAATGCAGGCACCCACGGCGGGGCCTCCTTTACTGTCTGAGACCTGCACAAATAGCTGGCCAGCTGCACCTGCAGCAGAAGAGGGGCCAGGGCGCCCTCGAAGAGGAGTGGGGGGCAGGAAGTGAGGAGAGGGAGGAGGAAGGACAGGCCTGGCACCTACAAAGGGCAGGGTGTGTGTGTGTGTGTGTGTGTGTTGAAGGGGCAGGTGGAAGCGGGCCTGGGCCTTGGACCTTCCTGAGCCCCAGGTCCATGTGCAGTGGAGACTGGGGGGGGAGCAGGAGAGTAGGAGGAGGAAGGGGGCCTGGAGGACAGGAGGTCCCTAAATACAGTTGTCACAGTCTGTCTGGAGTGGACTCGCCACTGCCAGTGGATTCTGAGCGTCTCGGATGACGGCCTTTGGATGGCCTGGCCCAGCGGTTTGCCTCAGTGTCCCTTTGTGTCATGGAGAAAGGTTGGCCTGGGTGCTCGATGGACCTGGCTCTGAAGCCCAGCTCCGTGGCCACTCAGCTGTGGGCAGGTGAGGCGTGGGCCTTGACTGAGTAGGATGGAGCCTTCTGCCAGGGCGGCTGGAAGGTGCTGCATGCAACCAGGGAAGGTACCAGGTACGGCCACCCTTCACCTGAGTGCCATCCCTGTCGTGTTCCTGGGTCTGGGGAACCACTGAGGAGAGGGGTCCGGACACTAAAGGGGCTGGGATTCAGGTGGAAGTCTGGGGGCTGGAGGAAGGCGCTGGGTACTGCAGTGTGGACTTGGGCCCAGGTGTGCAGGAGAGCAAGATGCCAGTGTGCAGACAGGTGTACAGGTGAGCAGCCAGTGGCAGTGTCGGAAGGGAAGCTGACAGGTAGAACAACCTGGGACAGGAACTGAGGCGGGATGGAATAACCTCCTGTCAGTCCTCCCACTTCTCAGGTAAGGCATGTGAGGACCAGAGAAGTCCTGCTTCAGACTCTGTATGACGCACAGCCATGAACTGAGCAGACAGACAGGCCTGGGGCCCACTCCTGGGGCTCCAGGCAGGAGCTCCCAGGCCGGTGCCGATGCCCCCGTCTCTCCAGGAGGCAATGCTCTGCTGGTTGCAGGATTCTAAAACCACTGACTGAAGGCCACCCTACATTTCTCTTTAGATTCACGGGAACCTCAACCACCATTTCTGTTTGTGTTTTTCACTCCTGGGCACCCCCATCCCTCACCCTACTTCGAGTAGAGCAGGTTAGCTGGCAGAGGGAGCTACCCACCCGAGTCCCGGGTTAAACAGCAAATGAGGGCTAGAAGGTTCTGCAGCAGCAGGGTAATCAGAGCTCACGGGGAGAGGCAAGGCCGAGCTTCCAACGCCCCCAAATCAGCCCTACCTGCTCAGCAATGAGGGAAATACATAAGGATCAAAAGTGATTAAAGCCCTCATGAATGTAATCAGAAATTCAGCGCTAACCAGTATTTGCGCTGGTGCAAATTGATGTGGAATAACAAGCCTGAGTATCTGCAATTCTTCCTTAACTTGTGGGAAATTGGCTGGTGATTTGTGGGTAGGGGCCACTGAGAGGGGACAGGAGGAGGAAGGATGCAACTGAGAGCCAGTTCCGGCCGCATCAGCTCCAGTCCCCATCAGCTCCTGGCCCTATCAGCTCCTGGCTCCATCAGCTCCAGCCCCCATCAGCTCCTGGCTCCATCAGCTCCTGGCCCCATCAGCTCCTGGCTCCATCAGCTCCTGGCCCCATCAGCTCCTGGC